TTTTTTTTGGTCATAAAATAAACCAAAACGTTACTAATATGTTAATGTTGAATTTAATATTTAATTTCAAATAAGTTTCTAAATTAATTCCTACATCCATTACAACTATTTGAAGATCTTTCCAAATTCAATGTGTGTCATTAGTTACACCTCCACATAACACGTTAACTTGTAAATAGGGGTAGTTTTGGAATCCGAAAAATAGAATAAATCAGATTTTAAGCTAGATTAGGTAACTTGCTTACTTGGATCCTAGTCAGCGGGTTTTACTTGAAAAAATTGGGTATTTTAAATAAAAAATAAAGGAAAGGGTTGTAGATGATTACAAATGAATTTTTATGGGTCTAAGCTCAATTTACTATAAAAAGAAATCACAACATGTAATTAACAATATCAATTTGACTTAGAAATGGAAGGAAAAGTTTAAATTCTTAACAACTAGCAATTAGTTTAGTGATGCTTATCTTCACAATATTCCAAATTCGAATCTCAACTCTTTGATTTCCAAACGGATAAAAGCAAACCTTTTAGATATTGATATAATATGGGTTTCGGATTGAGATTTCAAAATAAACTAGGATTGAGACGCTTTATTTGATAGTTTTCTGCGTGGTTTAAGATTGTTGGGACTACTTCTGTATAAAATGACAAAGCCTAGGCCTGCAAATACGTACAAGTTGTGCAACTATTGATTTTTTGAGTGTGAGGAAATTAAAGATTTGATACTATATATGGCGGAGGCATTATCATCAACCTTTGATTCCGGTTGGGCATGGCTCCCAAGCCATGTTCTAGATTTGATACTAGATAAGTTGATACCAATTTCCGAAGATGTCACTCGAAGAGCGCTCATTTTGGATACTCTTCAAGTCAGGATGATTAATGTATTTTGACCATGTTGGGTTTTGTAACTATATTTTTATTTGTGCTATTTCGGTTATACTTTGGTTGAACTATTTTAGTTATAATTTTGTTGAACTATTTTGGTTGTAATTTGATTAAACTAATTGAATGCTTGTGGTTATATGCTTTTAATTCATTTGCAATTTGATTAGATTTTACTTGCTTCGTAAATCTAACAGTTGAGCTTTGTGAACTAATTTCTGGGTTGTGCAATGCTTTTGTCTATTTTGGACTATGTTTTGCCTAACATAAAGTAGCATCACAGACAAAGCTCCTCTGTTATTCAAGGATATGTGTAAATCCCAAGGGTCAATGGGAAAATCTTTAGGCTGCCAGAGACTACAGTTCATGGTCATAAAGTGCTCAAAATATTAGGGGTGAGCATTATAACCGAAAACCCGACCGAACCGCCTGAACCGGACCGTTTTAGGTGGTTTGGTTCGGTTTTTATACTAAAAAATCAAAGAACCGGTATAAAAACCACCCGAACCGGCTCTGAACCGGGTTGGATCAGTTTTTTTTCACTCCAAACCGCTGAAAACCGGACCGGACCGAGTATTTTAATTATATTATTAATTAAACAAAATAATACACATGTCAGCGGA